AACATGTCTTGGGGGTAACATTTTGTTCCCTTGTTTAGAAATGAAGAATTTTGGTTTCATACGGGTCCTCCTGAGTCGGAATGGCCTCAAGGGCGTCGTGGAAGCCTTTAGTGTTGCTTTGGCTACATGTTGTGCCTGCCCTGTGATGGGCAACTTCGGGGACACAGCGGAGATAGATGTACTTTTTGCCTTTGCAAGAGTTCAAGCCTGCAGGCAGCACTTTGCCACAGAACTTCCTGAAGCAATAGAACATTTCTAAGTGCACCTGAACTATGCACTAAGATTCCACTGGCCACATCTGGCTAGTGACCATTCCACAGAAGCCCTGATGGTGTTGACCACAACATGTTGTACAGTTAGGCCAAAGGCTACCTCTCTGCTCATTCCAATTCACCAAGGGCTCTGTGGGGGGATAGAAGGACGAACTCCATCCTTTTGACTTACAGCCTTGGAAACCCAGTGGAAGGTCCAGCTATGAGTTGGTTCCCACTGGACGTCAATGAGAGAGAGAGAGAGGAGCTACTGTAACTGAGTCACTGAAGTTTTAATTTTATTTAATAGTGAATTTCACTCTAAATAACCCCATGTGGCTAGTGACAATTGTATTGGGCAGTTCAGCTTCAGAGTAAAAATGTGCTAATTTAATTTAATTGCCAGTCGAGAAGGTATGGTAGCACTCAGCATTTTGTTAGCTCGTGGAAATCAAATCACCCGTGTTCCTTTTCTCTTTAATGAGGCACACCACCAAAGCTAAAAAAGAAAAAAGGGGGGGAATTTGGACAGTGCCAGTGTGAAAAAGCATGCATTGCTTTTAAATGTGTGTGCTATTGAAACAGGTAATTGGTGTTTATTGATGGGAAGAATGAATAAAATCCTCACACTTGGGTGATCTGGCAAAGGCAGGTGGTGTTCCTGAAGCAGAGGCTGAATGGGAGGATGCCCCAGCCAAGTCACCAGGGAAGTTTATTTGGTTCTCGCCTGATGAGTGAAGTCCCTGGGTGATACAAAGGATTATCAAAAGACTGGACTGGAGACCACCGAGAGATTCCTACGAGGAAAGGCCTGGTGATCTACTTCTGACGACCTTAAGGCAACGTCCAGTAAAGGGTTAATTTGATATTGTAATTAATATAATGAAAGATCTCACTCAAAAATCATTGCCTCAAGTCTGAACCAACTCATAGCTGGGCCTCCAGCAGGTTTTCAGGGGCTGTAAATCATACAGGAGGCAAATGCTTATCCTTCCTCCTCAAAGCCTCTGGTGGGTTTGAACCGCCAGCGAGGTGCTGCCCCTGGGTTAGCAGCACAACTCAACTCCCTACTGACTGTGCCACCAAAGTCCCTGATAAACCAGAAAAACTTTAAAAGAAAAAAACGCAAACTGGAGAAGTGGCAGCTGGAGGGGGTAGGGGCTCTGAAGAGGTGGGACTTGGAGAAGGCCCCACTGGTTTAAAACCCCATCATGTTTAAGATTTGTATGAGTGGGAGGGGCTGAGGGACTCCTTTGTTCAGTTTGGGAAGCTGTCTGGACCCCAAAATGCAGCAAGCCAAGCCTTCTATGCTCAGGTCCCTTGGAGAACCCTCTAGGTGACCCCTCTTCACGGGTGGTTGCTCATGGTGGCTCTGCCCCCATTCTTCTGCATCTTTGGACAGTGGCGCCTCTTTGCAAGTGACCCAGGTTCCTCAAAGTCCTCTCTTAAGTTCCTCCACTAGTGAGTTTCCTCTGGGAGAGGAAGCAGCTTTTGGCATTGCAGAACAGTTATTTAAATACTTGTGGTGAAAAGTCTAATATTAGAGCAAGAGCAAAGAGAGATCATGGAATCCAATCTCCTTATTTTGGTTTTTTATTTTTTAAATTAAACATTCCTGGTGAGCAAGAGTGGATCTTACTAAGGATTTCTCAGAGTAGATGGGGGAGAACTTGGTTTACACTCTGCACCCCAGCTGCTGTTCCAGTGGGATCATTCCCATTCATATGTCTTGTTGCACCCGGTCCCAACTAGCCGCCAACTGAGGGCTTCCTTTCCATTACCCTCTGTGAAAACCACCTCCCCACCTTCTCAGAGCAACGGCGCTCATCCCAGCCCCGCCGCCAAATTTATATCCCCATATGCAGGCCCTCTGGTGGCCTAGAGCATCAAGACTTGTGCCTTCAACCCAAAGGCAGGCAGGTCAAAACCACCAGCTGTTCCTCAGGACAAAGATGAGCAGTCTCCTCATTGTGTGATTTACCGCTTCTGAAAACCCAGTGGAGGTTCATCTCTGAGTTGATTCTGCCTGGACAACAACTAAACACTCTACATATAGTCAGCAGCTATGAGGGCATCCCTATGCCTCCGGACAGCTTGCCCAGGTGCTTGAATCACTTGCTGTTGAGTTGACTCCAGCCCCTGCGTGCAAGAGCAGAACTGTGTTCTGTGGGGTCTTCAGTGGCTGATCTTTCGGCCGTAGTGTGCCAGCCTTTTCTTCTGCAGCACCTCTAATTAGACTTACGCTCTAATCTTTCAGTTTGCAACCGAGTACACGACCATCCGCAGCACCCTCACATGGATTCTAGATGCTATACCCAGAGCCCACAAGACTGCTAGAGGCCCAGAGAAATGTTTTAAAACAAGACAAAAAAAGCAACAATCTTTCATGTTAAATATATTTGAAAAACTAATAGTTGTCTAAAATGCAAAACATTGCCATTAAAATGACTCATGCTGACACACACACACACACACACACACACACACACGTGGATTTTTGAGGCTATAAATCATGTGGGAGGAGATTGTCGGTCTTTCCCTGAGCTGCTGGTGGATTTGAACCCCCATAGAGATGTCACCTGTGGTTTAGCCGACAACTCCGTATGGACTACCCCACCAGAGATCTCTAGTAACTACAGAGTTGTCGTCATACAAGTGAAGTTGTTAAATTATCCTTTTTAATAGGTTTTCTTTTTCCTATAGAGAAGGGCCCAGGAATGGCAGCCTTTGAAATTCACAGTGCACCTACATTTATCTGTCCCTATATTCCTGAGAAGAAAGTGACCAATATTTTGCAGAGCTGGCCACCAAGGCCCTGGGAGGGGAGGTGGTTTGCCCCAACTCACAAAGCCAGGAGCCACTTCATGTTGCTTCCCGCAGCCTGCTGCCTCAACAGACAGCAGAGAGATTTCTTCTTAAAATGCTTTATTTCAGGGCTGGTTTTTCCTAACTGTAATGTAATTGTCCTTTAATCAATATAAAATTTCCTGTGGAACAACTGGAAGGGGTGGGGAGGAGAGAAGCCCAGCAAATGTGAATTGTTGTTTATTTGTCTCTCTTAAACAATGTTTCACGTTAAACCAGCTGCAAATGAAATGAGTTGTATTATAACCATAGTGGAAAAATAGCTGCTGATCTCATAAATTCATCCAGTTTCCTGGTTGCAAAGGCCTCTCTCAAAAATAATCAGTGGCGCTGCAGCGTTAGGTAAATATACCTACCTCCACTTGGTAGGGAGTGGAGGAATTAGAATTACAAACCCAGAATGGGCCCCTTTCTGCCTGCTTTAGGTGGCAGGCTCCATTCTAACCAGTGCAGGAAAGCAGAGGGTCACAGCTTACTGGGGACAGAGACACAAATGCATCTTTCTGTATGATGCCTGACTCTCAAACGTCATCATGTAACAGATAGCTTCTCTGGGCCTCTCCCTGCCCAGCACCCAGCTCTGCTCTGGAGCAGCATCTGCCTTTGTCTCCTGGGTTTATCTGGGGGTGGAGACTTTAACTGAGATGCCTTGAGTAGCGGCTGTGACTGCAGGCATTGGAATCAGACAGACCTGAGTTCTAATGTGACTTTGGGCAGCTTCCTTAATCTCTCTAAGCCTCAATTTCCTCATCCACGAAATGGCAGCAGAGAGCATATTCCTCACAGGGTTGTTGCAATAATTAGATACATATTAAAGGCTTAACACCTGCCTGTCTGTGTGGTGTGTTCAATAATGGCAGCTCTACTGGAGTGGGACAGTTTGGGATAACTGAATGGACTGACGAGTAGCCAGTTTCTTTTTCTTTTCTTTTCGACTTTGGCTTTTAGGCATTGTGATGGCTGTGGTGGTAATAAACACCAGGACATGGAGCATTTGGTATTTTGCAGACTGGATTGTATCTTACCTGTCTAAGTGTGTTTAGACTTAATGGGGAAAATGGTTTTGAATCAATTGCATTTGAATGTCATCAAGAATGGAGCAAGTTTGCCAGTTTTCAGAACTCCTCAAATCCTACCTACAACACCTACCTTTCAGTGACACTCTCTTAACACTTGTCAGCTATGTTATGTTGGGCACATGAGGATGTTATTAAGCATAGAAGAAACACCTGACCTTGAGGTTCCTAAACTCCATCATATTGCTGTCAGAGGCCCCCAGAGGAGAGACGACTTCTGTCACCACCCACTGAAGTTTCTAAAGAGTTTCACTTGTTGTCTTTATTAGTGTCTCACTGGAAACAAACAACATTTAAAAGATATTTTTTTTTCTTTGCATACTTAGAAAGCTTATTTAAATCCACGTAATGAGACACTCTCAATAAAATAGTCATTCACACTTCTCGATGTGTTGGCGAAGGCAGCGTCACCGTTGGGGTGTTGGATGGAATCAGTTCCCACACACTCCCGTGTGTAGTGTGTGTGTGTGTGTGGGGGGGTTACTAAACAAATGTTACTACAAAAAATAATGGGGGGTTTGCCAGAGCTTTTGGAAGCACCAGGACCTCAAAACCCAGCAGGATACTGGAGAATTTTTATCCCCTTCTCCTCCAGAACTCGATATTTGAGGTCCCAGTTACTCCAGTTTTCAAGATTTTCATTGAAGTGGTGTGTAAGATTCCAATAAAGTGTCAGATTTTGAGAAGTTTAACATTATCTTTTTCTTTTACAAAAATGTATTCTGAATTTTACAAAAATGTTCATTCTGAACTTATTTTTTTTAATTTCCAAATTATAAATTATTTTTGGGGAAAATTGATCTTAAAGAATGCATGGGCCAACACAGAAAAACTGCCTCATTTATTCTAGCTTAAAAAAAAAAATTTAATGGTTGCTTATGAAAGAGCACAGAATTGATGCCTTGAATTGTGGTGCTGGAGAAGAGTCTTGAATCTACCATGGACTGCCAAGAGAACAAACAGGTTTCCTGAAGAAGATGAAACCAGATTTCTCCTTGGATATAAGAATTTTGAAACTCTGTCGCACATACTTTGGGCATGTTGCCAGAAGGAAACATTCCTTGGAGAAGAGTCAACTACAATGTATAGGGACCTTGGGGACAGGAGAGTCAGAGACAATGGGATTGGCTCAGGATAAGGCGGGGTTCAGGGCAATTGTTCACAGGATTGCTGTGACCAATAGTTAACTTGATGGCACATAACTATAGCAAAAATGAAGGAGTAAATAGTTCATTTATTGAGGCTTATGAAATATGATGGTGAGAAGTTTATTAGAAGACTCTCTTTCACTAATGGAAAAGTTGTAGGTTCAGAGAGGTCTCCTAAAGAAAGCCTGATGAACAGCATCAGAAAAGTCAGCCATTGAAAACCCTATGAGTATAGTTCTACTCTCACACGCAAGGGGTCGCCATACATCAGAAATGGCTCTAAAACTGGATTCTGGTCTACCCTGTGCCTGTGAGCATTTCTCTAAGGCCCACACTCCTAAAGGATGGCCAGAAACTGTTGACCAGCCTCAGATTTGGCAAATGTGTAGGTCTTTTTAACTGTATATTGAAGGATGAACATTCATTCCAGATTTCATGCTATTAATGGAATTTTAAGAAAGAACCACCCAAGGTGGTTAAGCACTACCAAGGTGCTTGATAGTTTATGAGCTGGTCTTCTGAACAGGAAGAACAAGGCCGACTTTAAAGAGCCTGATAGATTTGAACGATGTGGGAAGGTGATGGAGCTCAGAGCTTCTTTCTTGGCTGTGTTAGACCATGTAATGAGTCTCCTTCAGACACTGCTCATGACTAAATCCTAAGAATAACTGGGTTGGAATCCTCTGAGTTCCAGGATTTGTTACTGGCACAAGGAAAGGGTATTATGGGTGTCCCACTGGGCTTGAAGTATGAACCTGAAAGCTTAACAGCCAATAAAACAAGAGTTGGAGGAAGATGAACAGTAATTTTAGCAAAAAAGTCAAGCTTACTTTCCTCATCAAAGCTTTTCCCTTCCTCCCCTCAACTGGAGTTAAGAATTCCAGTGGCTTTGTCTTAAGGGAGAGCAAGAAGAGAGTTTCTCATAAGTCCTAGAAAGAGACAAATATGAGATTTTTAAAATCATGTAATATTTGCTGGTATTTAAGCCTGCTTTGGCGGGCATTCAGAGTCTGTTAAAATCATTTTGATTGTGAAGAGACTAAATGGAGCTGTTAAATTACATTTTGTGAATTAACATGTAGCCAAACAGTTTTCAATCGTTTGTGAATGATGCTGCTTATTATCTAGGTGTTCAGTGTCTACACTGCACCTGAGGAAAAAACTCAAATTGGGCCTGAACCCCAGTCAAGGGAAAACATATTAATGATATCCTTCATTATTAAAGGCGACCATGCTCTTTATAGAGAGTGTGAAGTATAGGCCCAGTTGAAAAGAGAGCTTATTTGCAAGCCAAATGTCAGAAATAAAAATAAAGAGGGAAGCGCTTACTTATATTGTAGGCAACACTGTTAATGTGTCTGCTCTTTAGCATAAACCTGGTTAGTAATCCAAATGCATTTAGTTAAATCCCCTCTGGCTCTGACTGAGGGTCGCTGGTACCTCCGTTCTTGTGGAGTTGGTGCTGTTAAGCAAAGGCCTTGCCTCTCCAGCAAATTGAAACCACAGGGTTTCCTCCTATGCAGTTTGCAGCCTTGGGAACTCAAAAGAGGATCAGCTGTGCATCAGTTCCCACTCCAGGACAATGAGTTTGAATGAGGTTCTGATTAGTCCAGTGACCACAGATTTTGAAACTTCAGATTCCAAGATGAAAGATTTAAAAAAAAATTTGCTTTGGGTGATCTCTGATGGCCTAGTGGCAAGAAGTTGCACTGCAGTCCCAGAGGTGAGCAGTTCGAATCCAGCAGAGCATCTGGAGGGGCAATCTCTTCCAGTGCCAGTCAGGTCCAATTTGATGGCGCGCACACACACACTTGCTTTGGAGCTCAGGCATAAACACCTCCAAAGCAAATTCGAGCTTTGTGGTCTGCTTTAAATTTCAATTCTGCATCTTTTGGGCCTCCAGTTACTTTCAGAGAGCCAGCAGTTTCTCCTAAGGCTGGAGTTTAATCTTGTCTCCTGTATCACTGGGATTTAAGACTTTCAGCTCCCCAAGTTCTTATCCATCATGTTTATCAAGGTGACACAGTGGATCACCTCCACTGGGCATAGTGCTTGGTGTTAAGTAGGAACTAAAGATTATTGAATGAGTAGCTAAAGCAGAAGACTCTATTTTCACATACCCAGTCAATCAGCTGCAACCGTTGCTGTGAGGTTGCCTTCGTCCATCAAAGCATCAACACTGACCATCGTCGTCTTTTTCTGTCTTACATAGATTTGGTTGGGACACTGAATGTTACGTCCCCTGAGCAGGGCCAGTGGATCCTTCTCATGCTGTAGGGGATAGACAATGGTCTCTGTCACCTGAGACAAAGAAAATGAAGGTCCAGTTCACCTCTAGTGTATCCACCAGTCCAACCTAAATGGAAACGCTGCCTGTCACTTTGAGTGGCTCCCCAACATGACTGTAGCATCATGACCTTGGAGGTTCTCCATCACCTGTTGGCATGCTCCAAGGACCAAGCATTCCTATTAGGTCAGATCCATTCTCCAGGCCTCCTTGACCATAAGGAGGTAGAAGTTAGTGGAAGAAAGGAAGGGCCTCAATGAGATGGAGTAAAACAGTGACTGCAGCAGTGGACTGGAGCATGGAGGAGACAACAAGGGTCCCCTTGGGACATGTTATGGGAAACAATTTGTAAAGCAGTAGGAGTAATGGTGAGTAACAAGTAGGTGCTTACTGCACCCTACACTAGACTAGGGCCTTTTCTATTTGTAACTTTCTTCTCTTCTCAAGAAAGTATTATCACTAGACCTATTATACGAGTTTGGAATGCAAGGTTCTGAGAGAGTCATTTTCTAGATGATATAGTAGGCAATTAACATTTTATATTTTTGCTGCTTCTTTACTATTTTAGTCTTCACACATATTGCCTCACTTAATCCTACTTAGATGATTGAACTGTAGGACTCATGTTTTTCAAACTCTCAAGGTGTTAATTTTTGTGTTGGCCACTGTGGTGGAACCGACATATAGGTAGATTGAGGAAGCTATTATGGAGCATATTATTTTCCTAATGTGCAGCCTCCTTTAAAGGACTAGTGTGTTTTAGCAAGTTGTTACTAGGTGCTTTTAGGTCAGCTAGGACTTATAGGGACCTATGAACAACAGATCTGATCCTTGCCCTATACTTCGCCACCTTCGTGATTTCTGTACGTTCAGTTGCTCTCCGTGAGGGTCTTCCACTTTCCATTCCCAGCATGAATGAAACTGGGGATTACTTTCCTTTTTTAGCCTCATCACCACCTGCGGGATTCTGGTAACTCTCGTTACCTTTCCTCTTAATTCTTTAGAATTTACACATCATACTTAAAGATTTTTAGATACTTTGTGGTTGCTTCAAGTTAGATTCCTGTTTTTCACTTTCATCCTGCCCTCAAACCTGAATGTTGCCGTATCTTTTAAAGGTGCATTGACAATACCTGGGATGCTTATTTAAAATCACCAATCCAGAAACCCATCTTAGCTGTCCTCTCACAGCATGTCAGGTGCAAGGCCAATATGAACAGGGCCCTTGATGAGGCTAATTCATAGAATACATGTCCGTCCACACACTTAACATACTATTGAGTTAGTTAATTACCAAATGGGAACCATGGAATGGTTATAAGTCAAGGTCAAGGCAGGAAACAATTGTATTTCGAATCTACAAGTGAAGAGATATAAATGGACAGACTTACAAAGGTGAAGAGAATGAAGAAGGGTGTTTTAGGTGGCCAGGAACTGGCAATATCAGGAAGCATTCACCTACCCCTCTGAGACCTGGAGGGGCCAGAGGAGGGAATGGGTTTTATGTGTTGTGCTGCTAGCCAAAATTTGGTGGTGGTAATCAGCCAGTTGCTCTAAGGAGAAAGGTGAGCAATCTTCTCTCATGTAAGTTTTGTTGTTGTTGCTGTTGTTGTTGTTGTTGTGTGCCTTCCAGCTATTATTCATAGCAAACCTATGAAAAACAGCTCTGAACTTTTTGCCCCATCCTGAGCCAAACTCACCCTCTCTGACACATCTGACCCCATTTCCATAGTCACTGCACCAATCCATCTCATCCGGGGTCTTCCTCTTGTACACTGTCCCTCCACCCTTCCAAACATGATGTTCTTCTTTAAGGACTGGTCCCTCCTGGCAACCTCCCCAGAATATGTGAGACAGCTTCAAAATCCTTGCCTCCAAGGAGCAACCTAGTTCCACACTCTGTAGAGCAAATCAGTTTGTTCTCTTGGCAGTCCATGATATGTTCAATACTCTTCTCCAGCACCACAATTCAAAGGCATTAATACTTCTTCTGTAAAAAAAAAAATACTTCTTCTGTTATCCTTAGTCATTGTCAGCTCTTAGATGCATGGCAAGAAATTGAGAAGACCACGGCCTTGATTTTAGCCTTTAGAGTGCTGGAGGTCCTTGACAGCAGATTTTTCCAGTGCAGCTCATCTTTTGATTTCCTGACTGCTGGTGCCAAGGATGTTGATTGTGAATCTGAGCAAAGGTGAAATTGTTAACAGTTTTCACTGTCTATCATGATGCTACCTATTGAGGCAGTAGTGAGGATTTTTGAAGGTTACAGTCCTTGACCTTCTGCAGCAAATGCTTCAAGTCTTTCTTAGTTTCTGCAAGCAAGGTTGTGTCATCTGCATACCACAGGTTGTTGATGAGTCTTCCTCCAATCCTGATGTCTAA